ATGTATTTAAAAGAAATTTGGGAAAGTTAAATAATAATAAAATACTCAAAATGAGAATTTTTTTTATTAATTTTTATTGTGGTAAAATATAGATCACAAATATATGTTCCTATAAAACCTAGATAACAAAAATATTTCGCTACCACCATTTTCACACACAGAACACAGTGTCATTAATATCTCCAGCATATACTAGTACTGTATTTTATTTTATAACAAAAATCTATTCTGAACCTCCAGATTCCTTTCCCACCAGATCTAAATACTGGTCTGAGTGGTCATAAAAGGAGGGAAAATAACTGAAACTGAATCATATGCTGCTTGTAGCATGAGAGTTCATATCAAACAATATTGTAGATAAATAAATAAAATCTGTTCTGCTGAATATTTCCATTTGTGGAAGGGAAGCGAGTATTGGGCACTGAATTTTAAACATTTCTTATAACTAAAATTATTAGTAAAAATTCTCCCATATTACTAAGCATATTTAAGAAGTTACATTTTATATTTGTTTTAGCTGAAACATTCTACTTTAAAACTTAGAGTCATCAATGAATGACTGGAAATCCAAATTCTCTGTAAATGTTCATTAAAATTATTTTTTAAAAATTTTTAAAAATTAAAAAACCAAACAAACTTAGAATCATGCAATTTTAAGGTTTAATAAAGATATTGTCAATCTTGGTTGTATTCACATTTTTTTGCAGAATAATTATGTATGTGGTTGTGGGGCTTTTCTCTGTCTTAAAGATATTTTAGTAGTATCTTGGAAAGATAGAAGGTCATGAAAGGAGAGGAAGATTCTCAAGGAGATGTAGTTACACAGTGACCTCATCAATGGACACAACAGAGATTGTAAGGATGGTATAAGATCAGACCAGGTTTTCATGTTATACGTAGGGCTACTGTGAGAATCAAGTGGCATCCACTTCCTAAATGTCATGCTTCTAAAAACTATATGAACTTCGATAAATGAAGATAGTTATAGAAAGGCTTCAGGCTTTTATTCATAGGCTTGCTACCAGTCGTGCTCCACTCTATGGCAATCAACAAGAACAACATTCATCACTGAAAAAGACATTCAGATGGCCAACAAGCATATGAAGAAATGTTCAAAATCCCTAGCTCTAAGAGAGATGCAAATCAAAGCAACTATGAGATCTCATCTGACCCCAGTCAGAATAGCAAAATTTAACAGAACAGTAAGCAACAAATGCTGGTGAGGTTGTGGAGAAACTGGAACCCTTTTTCACTGTTGGTGGGAGTGTAAAATGGTGCAACCACTGTGGAAAGTGGTGTGGCGCTTTCTCAAAAAGTTTTAAATAGAGAAACCATTTTACCCAGCAATTCCACTACTGGGAATATACCCCAAAGAGACTATAACTGACATCCAAGCAGATATATGCATACCCATGCTTATTACGGCTTTGTTCACAATAGCAAGGAGTTGTAAACAACCTAAGTGCCCATCAACAAACGAATGGCTAGAGAAGCTGTGGTAGATTCACACAATGGAATACCACGCTGCATTGCAAAACAAGGAACACATGCAATATTATTCAGAATGGGTGACCCTGGAGGACATTATGCTGAATGAAGTATCTCAGTCATAAAGGGACAAATACTGCATGGTGCCACTGTTGTAAAGCAGGACTGACCTTGGGCTTGGGAGGAGACTGAGAAAGATGGGTTCAATAATGTATACTGCATTGAAACATATGGAGAAAACTGTTTAAGATGGAAAATTATTAGGTATTTTTGTCATGACAGGAGTCCGGAGCGAAGGCTGGAGTAGAGTGGACCTGAGGGGAGGGATTGAAAAACAATGGAAGAATTTTTCTTTTACTTTTCCAGGAAAGTAGTGTACTAGGGGGGAAGGGTTGGGAGAGGAGAAAAGTGCAACAATGAATGAATGGAAATCCAAAGTCTCTGTAAGTTTTCATTAAAATTAATGATAAATTTTTTTAAATCCTAAAAAAAAAAGAACAACATTCATAAGCACGCTCATGCGCGCGCACGCACACACACTCTCTCTCCCCCCTCTCCCCCATTCCCTCCACTCTCTCCCCTTTCCCCCTTTAACCTCTCCCCCCTCTTCCCTTCTCTTCTCTCCTATCCCCCTCTCCCCCTCTCTCCCTAAGATGCCTGCCTAGTCGTGACTAACAAAAATCAACCAAAAACATTGCCAAATAGTCCCTATGTAAAATAACTCCTAATTAAGACCCAGTGTTGTAATGTACAGTATCTCCATTTCAAGTGGTCTCAAATCTAGTATGTTTCTTTTCTGTTGTTTTTGTTGTTGTTGTTGTTGTTGTTGTTGTTGTTGTTGTTGTTGTTGTTGTCATGGGCCATCGAGTTGCCTGTAACTCATGGCGACCCTATATACAGCCCTAAACCCTGCTCAATCCTGAGCCAACCTTATTGTCTCTGACAGGTCCACCCCATTACCACAGTTAACAAATCAATCCATTTCATCAAGAGTCTTCCTCTATTGCACTGTCCCTTCATCCTCCCAAGCATGATGTCCCTCTTCAAGGACTGGTCCCTCCTTGCAACATGTCCAAAGTATGTCAGACGAAGATTCCGAATCCTTGCCTCCAAGGAGCAGCCTGGTTTCACCCTTTCTAGGACAAACCTGTTTTTTTCCTGGCAGTCCATGGTATATTCAATACTCATCTCCAGCATCACAGCTCAAAGGCATCAATTCTCCTTCTATCATCCCTAGTCATTGTCCAGCTTTCTAAAACACAGCAAGTAATTGCAAAGACTATGGCCTGTATCATGAGTAATCTAAAAATTATAGGCCCCACATATATGTATAAAAGATAGTTTGAGAGCAAGTAAAGAAGAAGTAAAAGAAAACAGAACTTTTAAAACTCTTTGCAAGTATTTTGGAGAAAAATATTTGCATTTAGAATATATGACTATATGAAAGATTAACAGTGTTATTTTAAGTATAACTTGTACTTTCCATGTTCTGTTACAAATAAGCCCTTGTGGTTGTTTAAAATTAATTAAATAAGATTGTCATGCAAAACCAACATTTTTTTAAAAAACTGATACAAGTGAAACCTTACTTTTTTCTGTAGTACTTCCTGGCTTTCTTTGGTCCCATTCTTTTGAGGGTACATTTGTTTTACTAATGTCAATTTCAAATTGTTTTGCTGGTAAAGACGAACATTCCATGGCAGCATAGGAATCATACATATCCCAAGTGGTGGACATTACACCTAGGTAAACAGACAGAAAGTAAAAATTATTCGAAACCAAATTTCAATAAAAACACAACTAACCATAGAAATCTTAATAGTGATGCATGTCTAACTAGTAACTGTAGTTACTGAGTATTCCATAGGATTTAAAACAGCTGACATTTTTCCTCCCAGAAGTAGATCCCCAGGCCAGTCTTCCATATGGTGTTTTTCCCCCTTTCTTTCTTTAATTGTGATTTTAATGAAAATTTACAGAAAAGTTAGATTTTCATTCATTCATTGTTGCCCATTTTCCTTCCTACTCCTCTAATTCACTTTTTTAAAAAATTCATTCATTGTTGCATAATTTTCTCCCTACCCTCTACCCCATCCCAATCTACTTTGCTATGCATGCTGTCATACAAATAATGCCTATTGATATATTCATTTTAAACAGTCACAAAAGGACAAATATTGCATAACACCATTGTTATAAAGCAGGACTGACATGAAAGTTGCAGGGAAACTAAGAAAAGAGGGAATAAATAATGAACACTGCATTGGGACATTTGAAGAAAATAACTGTTTAACAGTCCAGTCTTTTGAGATGATCAGGGTGGATTGTAACCTCCAGCATTTCCATTAATACTTAGTCTGTTAACCATTTGCACCACCCCAGAACTTGTTAGGAAAAAATATATAACTGCTTTTTAACAACTATGGCAGAAAGGAAATAATGAGCCTAAAGAAATAATGAGGACATTAAAGAAACATGAGGACTGCTAAAGAGATCTTTAAAGGCACACAGTTCAAATCTACCATCTGCTCCTTGGGAAAAGATGCATAATCTCCCATGCAATTTAATGCCTCTAAAAACTCCCTGGAAGGTCATCTATGAGTCAATTCAGACTCAACAGTATCTAACAACAGCAATAACAAAAAGAGATCTTTAATCATCACACTATTAGCATCTACAAATATATTTGTATTTAAGGAACATCTCAAAATTACCCTTATCATCATCTCAGACCTTCTACTTCCTCCCTTCTACACTAAAACAATTGCAGCATAATAGCAGTCTCTCATTTTAAGGGTGCTTTTCAATTCCTGTTGCTTCAGCTTTTCTAGGACTCCACAGGAGTAAAATGGGCAGCCTCCTACCACAGCAACATATAACTTCAGAAACCTGATGGAGGGTCACTATGAGTCAGAACTGACTCAATGGCGGTGAAGAGGAGTCTGAGTTTGGTCTCAGTCTGCCTTTTTTTAAGTCTCTAGGTAGCAAAAAATGATTCAAGGCTCAGCTAATAATGGAAAGGATTATACAATTCAGTGATCCAAAAAGCTCACAGCCACTGAAAAAAAATCCTAAGGACAGTTCTATTTTGAGTCTCTATTATTTGAAATATATTTAACTATCTTGGATTTTTCTTTATTATTATGTGCTCTTCATATTCTGCTATAACTTTGCTTTGACTTCTCAATTACTCACATGCAAGCTCAAATTGAGGCCAAAGAAATGAAACAGTCCACAAGAACCAAATTAAGATACTGAATCTATTTCACCTGAATTCCAAAAGCATATTAAGAATACGTTTGACACATTGAACACCAACAACTGAAGACCAGGTGGGTTGTAGGATGATATCAAGGATATCATCCATGAAGACAGCAAAAGGTCATTACCAGGACAGAAGAGAAAGAAAGAAAAACTGAAATAGACATCAGAAGAGACTCTAAAAATTGCACTAGAGTGTCGAGAGGTCAAAACAAAGGAGAAACATGCCAAAATAAAAGAGCGGAACCTATGATTCCAAAGGACAGGTTGAGAAGACAAAGCAAACTATTATAATGGAATGTGCAGAGAGAGCTTGAAGTAGAGAATAAAAAGGGAAGAACTCACTCTGCATTTCTCAAGTTTAATGTGAGGATATTGTTGTTGTTGTTCTTGTATACCTTCAAGTCAGAACCAAACCACAGCTGACTCTCCAGCGGGTCTTCAGAGGCAGTTAATTACATGGGATTAGATTGCCCATCCTTCTCCTGCGAAGCAGCTGGTGGTCTCAAACCACATACCTTTGGGACTGCAGAACAGCTTCTTGCCACTAGGCCACCAGAGCTACCTGAGTATATTTTTAGAAAAGGCTTATGGAAGGGTGGAGGGCCAGAAAAGAAGAGGAAGACCCTCAACCAGGTGGATTGACATGGAGACTGCTGCAATGGGCTCTAGTGTGTCAGGAAGTGTGAAGAAGACACAGGATAGGACAGGGTTCAGATTTGTTGTTCAAAGGGTCTCTATGAGTCATACTCAACTCCATGGTCACTTAATAACAACAACAGATGAAAGACAGACTGACACAGTGACTGCAGCAATGGGCTCAAGAATGTCAGAAATGAGGACAGTACAGGATAGGATCAGATGTGCTGTTTATAGGGTCACTAGGAGTCTCATACTTGTCTTAATGGTACCTAACAACATGCTACATTCTACATTTTTTTTTGTATTTGCAAAGATGTAATCATGTCTCATTAATGAAAATTTCTGATATGTTTATTAGATGAGAAGATTGTATTTGTAGAAGAAAACAACAAACTTTTCAAGAAATTTGTGGACTGGTATAATTATTGCTTTCTGCTTTAAAACTCAAGCCAAATGCACATTAGTTTGAGAAACTTTATTCTTTAGGATAGTTAAACTAACTCAAATGAACAAATACAACAATAGTCTGTTGCAAACCGCAACCCTTTACACAATGCCTGGAAGAAATGAACATAGTCTACAAATTAAAATTTGCAATACTATCTGATACTATTATCTCAAAATAATAAACAATGCCTCACTGCCTTTTACTGATAATTAATGATACTTCAATAAAATTAATTTTTCAGAGGGCAAGTAACAATATATTCTTCTATCACCAGGCATAACTCCCTACCAGCTAGGCTACCAGAGTCACTAATGAATAATTCTTAATAAAGGGAGTACTGGTAGCACAGCTGCTTCAGAATACCTATAACCAAGCCAGTTGGCTATAATTGAACCATAATGTATTAGGGCACTCTGGTAGCCTAGTGGCAAGATGCTGCACTGCAATCTCAGAGGTATGTGGTTCAAATCCACCAGATGCTCTGCTGGAGAAGGAGGGGGCAAACTCTTCCTGTACCAGTCAGATCTGATTTGACAGTATACACAAAAAAATAATAAAATAAAAATAAAAAATAGAAAAATTAAAAAAATTATAATGTATCCACTCATTAAGAACTAAATGAATCATTTCTTTTCTAGGAGTCAACATAACGTGGGTTTGAGATAGATGTTAAAGATGTCCCAAATGTCCAAGTTTCCTCTCATAAAGATTTACAGCATAGGAAACTCGATGCAGGCTCTCCATGAGTTGGAATCTACTTGATAGCAGTGGATTATGGTTTGTTGATCTGGTTTATTTATTTAGTAAGTGGTGCTATTAAGACTATCAAAGAAAAAAAAGCTAATTCTAATATTAGAAGATATTTTTGTTGTTGTTGTTATGTGCCGTCGAGTCTCTTGCGACTCATAGTGACAATAGCCCTAAACTCTGCTCTGTCCTGTGCCAATCGCACTGTCTCTGACACACCCATTGCGATTACCCCAGTTACTGAATCAATCCACCTCATAGAGGGCTTTCCCCTCCTGCGCTGTCCCTCCACCCTCCCAAGCATGATGTCCTTCTCCAAGGACCGGTCTCTCCTCACAACATGTCTAACATACAAA